CGATATAATCTTTTATCAGAGTTATCGACTTTAAAATTATAAAAAATAAAGAAAGATTAAAAATTCAATACAATAACAAATTCATTGTTTTATTTAATCTATTATAATTATTGAACAAATTTATTGAACACAAATAACTTTTTTTGATAGTAAATAAAATAAAATGGAAAAAAATTGAGATGTAAGTGTTATTTTCTTTCTATACGAAAATATTTGTTTTTTCTTAAAATAATTTTTAAGACATAAAAAAAGTATTAGTTTAATAAAATAAAAGTCATAATTTCATACATTTGCAAGTTTGAATACCTTCAGAACGGCTTACTCTATGAAAAAATAAATTAGTACTTTTTTGTAGAGCGTTCAATTTCCTACCAAAATAATTTTTCAGTTCGTTTTTACAATGCTTACATGTCAAGATACAAAAATAAGAAAAAAGAAACTTTTTTTCCATGTTATTTAAATGGAAAATGGAAAGTTAGGAACAGGAACCACTTAATGTTATTATAAAGAGCTCCAATTTTTATAGGTTTCTTTTTTCACCTTCCTGAAAGTTTTTAGCCTGTTTTTTAGTTGAAAAAAAAAGTTGCTCAAAAATGACACACCCTAGTATACACGGTCTATTTAAAAACAAGCAGAAATTAAAAATTTCTTTCTAGGATATGGGGGGGAATCAGTATGACCACGAAAATTACCTTCACTAAGCAACCCCTGAGGCTGTAGCCACCCCAACTTATTTTTTTTAAATGGCAACGCTTTTTTTAACATACCTCATTGGAAAGCTCTTAAAAATTTCTATTTAACAGTAATAAACAAAATACTTTTTAATAGTTTAATTTTTAAAATTATTTATTTCAATTTTTCGTTATAAATATCAAATTTAAACATTAAATATCAAATTAAACTATTCGTTGTCGCAGATCTTTAATGGCATTCCACGGTGTGCCTGAACGAAGTTTAAGTCACATAAAAATGCCGCCAAAAACTGATGGCAGTTTCTTGTTCGGGACCCTTTGGTGACTTAAAAATGATATTTACCAAAATCCTAGCTGCTCCTCTTTTCGAAATTTTTTGTAAATTCATGATTTTTTTTTATTTCAAAGTTTACCTTTGACAGAGTACAAATTTGTACACCGATTTTTATAATATTGGAGTATATTGTTAGGAAGATACTTTTCAATGTAACTTGGATAAAATTCTGGGATTCCAGAATGATTTAAAGTAATAACCTAACCTAAAACTTGAATTTTTATAATTTTATAGTTTTTATTCATACTTAAAAGTATCTTAGTTACTGAAAAGTATCTTAGTTACTCAAAAGTATCTTAGATACTTTGATATAGTATCTTAGATACTTTCGGGTAGTATCTAAGATACTTTCTTAAGTATCTTGTAACTAAAGATACTAATAACTTCAAGTTATTTTGTTTAAAGTATCTTAGAAAAGTAACTAGATACTTTTCAGAAGTAACTTTCCCAGCTCTGTGTACAATATTTTGGGCAACATTTTTTGTGTTTATTCTGTTGTTTATTGTTTTATTTATTCATATCCAATAGCCATCAAAAACATTCACAAGTGGGGAATCTTATAATTTAATATATGTTTAATTTTAATATTTTTATTGTATTTCTTGCAATGCAAGTCTTGCATGTAAGTAGCTAGTTTGTAAATTTTTTATAAATAAAATTTGAAATACATTTATTTTTTATTTCTTGTAGTCTGTTAGGAAGGTGTTGAAACATCACAAATTCCACCCATTCAAAATACATATTACACAAGAATGCCAATAAAATACCAAATCAGATCCAAATACTACAAAACATTTGCTTCAGCGAGTGTACTTTTTATCCTAATGAAAATGTTAACAAACAAATTGTCGTTATTGGAGCAATAAAAATCCTCATCTTATCAGAGAAACTGAATGTCTGGGCAGAAATTTTGGGACACATGCTTTACTTGCAATATACACAAAGGGAATTATTAGTCCATTCTTTTAATATGAAATATTACACAGGTTTTTGTCATAATAATTGCCTTAACCGGCTTAAACATAATTATTTGATAACTTTTTCATTTGTCCTTTACTGAAACAAATTAGGGCGCTCTATTAATAAAAGTGATTGCGTGTTGGAAAAAATGGAAGTTTAAAAATTAAACAGTTCATAAAAAAACTGACATGAAATATCAAGGATTGCTTTAATACACCAGTGTGTACTTTAATAAAGATTAAAAATATTTTACCTCATACCACCTATTTGACCTATTTTATAAAATGTATTGTATATAATACATACAATTTGCAATGGAAACTGTTTTCTTTGTACCTATATTTATAAATTTTATAGTTGGCAAAAAAAAATTATATACAAACGTATTTTTACATCAATTTTTAATTGTGCTAAAAACTTTAACAGATCTAATGGGACCAATTATGGAAGATCAATTTTCTTTACAGTTTAAGAATGAGCCACTTTCTCAATTGAGGACGAATACGAAATGTACAAATTCTCCATTCTATATTTTTATGTTTGGTGGGAAATGAAGGTGGTAATTCTTATCCCTAAAAAATTCACATTTTAGTGGTATTACCACATAATTTACATTTTAGTCGCAATGATTTTTCGAGGAAAATATTGTTATAATAACAGTGGTCGACAAAATAATTATTTTTATTAAACACAGGGTGACCAATAACTTTTTCAGGGTAATTTGGGTGAGTTGATTTCAAAAATGACCCTAATTTTTACCATTTAGCTCTTGTTTTTACGATATTGTGTGCTGTCAATTTTGTTCCTGTCGTTATTTATCATTTTAAAGCCCTTAATGATAAATTAAGTTTATTTTTAATTCACATTTGTAATAATATAAAATTATAACCATTAACAGTAAAAAAATATATTTTTCCCATTTCACGTACCGCCACTGGATGTAATATGTTAAAGTCCTTATATGCATTAATATGTAGTCCAAATTGCAAGTTTATATCTTTTGTAGTTTTTGCTAAAATTAGTTTTGACCAAAATCGGACTTTTCAGCCCCTCTTTTTCTTTGTGGCGCGAGTTCTGGGACACCCTGTATATTTGTATATTGTTAATCAAATACTTTAAATGAGAATTATTCGTAGTGTAGCTAGAGGCCCTAATCCAACTGAAAAAAATAAATTATACACATTAACAAAGTTTGTTACTTTAAAAATCATGTTTTTACTGAAATAAAATTGTTTTCAAAGTGATGAAACACGGGAATTCATACAACAATTATACTGGTTTACAAAATCGAAAAAAAATCTACCCACCATATCCCATTATAATTTTTCCATGTATTTTGACCCACTAAACACGAAAATCACACTAAATTTTTTTTATTATGGAAGCGTTTTTAAAATATGAATTTTCAATTTTCGGAGGAGTTTTGACGTTTTTGAGTATAGCTTGAAATCTAATTGATCGATTTGGTCAAACAAGCCCTTAAATTGAAGGTATTTGAACCCTCTAAAACATTCTTTTACATACTTTTGATATCGGATAAGTATTTTGACGCTAGCCATTTTAATAACTTAAAAAATTCGTACTATGGCAAAAATTGAAGTCGAAAATTTACATATTGTCCTGGGAAGGGTTTAAATCAAACAGATAACTCCAGTTTGAATTTTTTTTCGTGAAGCTGACATTTTTACAAAAAAAAAATAAGCTAATGTTGATAAAAATACATGAAAAAATGGCGAAGTTATGAATTTTTTAGTCAGTTCAGCTTTTTGAGGATTATTAATTTTATTTTGTTCTTTTATTTTGTAATATGTTTATTCTTTAATGAAAACCTAAGTAAAGTGCATGATTGGTTTTTACGTAATTTTTTCACCGAAAACATTATTCAAAATTTAAATTTGACATGACTCCGCAAACGTGAATTCTTTTGTTTCTCGTGTTGGCATAGTGACATTTTACTGATATTTTAACAAGGTTTTTTTATCTTGGTTTTATTTAGTTAATAAAAAGTGTAAACTGAGTAAAAGAAGTAGAGAGTTCGAGTGCGTAAATAACCCCGACAATCTGGGTAACGTAAGTGATGAGCACGGAGAACGTTTTAACCAGCAAATGAAGGCTATGGAGCGGCGGTATCACGGCTTCTGGGATGCAGCCATGATGGGTGATTACATTTGGTCCCTCATACAAGAAACGGAATACGAAAACAACAAAAAACAAAGAAGGAGCCAGATTTTTTTTAAACCTATGCTTATTTAACAAAATAAAACTTTCAATATCTTTAATGTTTATTATTTATTGTTTAATATTCAATATATAATTTAATTTCAATATTTAATGTTTAAAATAAAAATCAATGTTCCATATTAAATTTTATATAATTCAATAAAATGAAAAAAAAACGTAACAATTCTTAAAAAACCGAATTTTGCTCTTCCACTGAAAAATTCATAACTTCGCCATTTATCTATGGATTTTTATCAACAGCAGCTTATTTTTTTCCTTAAAGTATAATCTATACGTAAAATAAATCAAACTGGACTCATGTTGTCGATTTATATTTTTCCCAGAAAGATAAGTGAATTTTCGACCTCGATTTTTCTAAAACTTTTTCAACTTCATAAAATCGCCAGTATCGAACTACTGAGCCGATACCAAAACTATACAAGAGAAAGTTGTAGATGGCTCAATTCCTTTGATTTAAGTGCTTGTTTGGTCAAATCTATCAATTAGAACTCGAAGTATACTCTAAAACGTCAAAATATATTTATGTGAATTCAATACAATAACAAGTCTTTTAAATTTTTAATGAAAACTACGGTTTTATACCTTTCTTCATATCTTTAATAAATCCTGAAATTCCGCTAAATTTAAAATTCGCTGATTTTTTAAATTTTTAGAAAGTGGCCACCCTGATTTAGTTTATAGTAATTTGATCTTGTCATCATTTTAGCTTGCTGTCGTCATAAACAAGACAATAGATTTAATTTCTATAAATATAAAAATAAAACAACAATTAACTTGTAACTGTGCTTAATATTTTATTTAAAAAAATATTAAAGTAAATTTGTTTGGTATGCTTACTGTATATGAGTATATATGCTTTTTTGTGACATAGGTATGTATACAAAGTTTGTATTACAAACAGACAAATAAACTTTGAAAATGGTACTATGCTCCACAACCAAAAATACTACTTTTACATTTAAATGAGGAACGCAGCCCAACAATTGAGGTTTAACGTTAATTTCATATTCTTATTTTGCTAAAATAGCTCTTTATTTAGAACATAAAACATTACATGTAAAGGTATATATATATATATATATATATATATATATATATATTTATAATTTCTCTTATTAACTCCTTTTCACCAAAAGGCTGCGTTCCGCATTAAAATGTTAAAGGCGGCCTTTTGGTTGTGTAGCTTAGTACATATAAATGCTTTCAGGTTTAAAATGTTTTTCACTTATAACTTTTTTAATTTGATTAAAAAAAATTAATTTTTGTGTTCTCCGATGTACGCCTTGCAGTTGGGACATGTGTGTTTTTGATTGGTGCAGGATTTCATACAGTATGGAATGCAGCAGCAGCAAAAACATCTAAAAAATAAGATAACAAGTTTTAAAATAAATGAATATAACAGTTAAACACAGAAAAATATGTCAGCGGTAAAAATTATTTGTTTTGACGTAGTTTTAAAAAATCATAAAAAGGGTTAAAAAAATTTTAAAAAAATGTAAATTTATATTTCTAGCAATATAAAAATTTAAATAGTTTTTTTTTAGTTTTGTAAATAGAAACTTTAACTGCACTATTATAAAAATAACTTGAGTTTGTAGTTTGTTAATTTTATTTTATAAAATTTTAACATAATTTTTTGTATAAAACCAGGGTTTGTTATTATTTTAACAAAGGAAAATATTTTAACGAAAGTAATTATATTAATAATCTTTATTTAGCAACACCTATAAAAGTACAATATAAAAATATTAATACAAAAATTAAGAGTAAAGCAATATTATAAACGCACATGCCTAAAAAGTTTTTTTAACATAAATCCTCCCTTGGTGAGATTTGGTGAGATGTGGTAGACCCCCCTATCCCTCACGTGAGATTTTAGCCATTAAACTTTCTTTGCAGACAACATGTAAAAAAATGATTATTTTTTACAAATTTGAATTATTATACATATATTTTAAACTCAAAAGTTGACGTGAGATTTTAAATGAAACCCCCCCCCCTCCCCATTATTGTCTCACGTAATTAATGGATGTCCCCTTATGTTTATTACTAATTTATTTAATTTGTTTACTGAGGTAATTAGGTAGCTTATTATTTTTTATTTTATATATGTTATGGCTAATGTGCAAACTTGGATAGTTTATAAACTAGCTGGATAGTTTATAAATTAGCCAAACTGTCAGCTATTTTAATTGAAAACATATTTTCAACTAAATTAGCGGCTAGTTTACAAAATAACCAAGGATCTTGGCTAATTTACTTGAAATTATTAGGGAAACTAAAATAGCTGGATAGTTTGTATACTATCCAATTCAGTTTGGCTAATATGAAAACCAAAATTTTCTAGTAACACAAAATAGCCAAGCTTTAGCTAGTTTGTAAACTAACCAACCAATTCTCTGGCTAATTTATTAAAAAAGTGAGGTTACGGCATTGTTTTTAGTTTTGCCGGCTTAACCGGATTTGTTTTGTGAATTTTAACGTTTTTAAAATGAATCATAGGCAAAATTTTAACGCTTCCTTGTTAGAAAACTCAACAACACAACCCTACCGACCCCGCCCCATTGGTCAAATGGTCAAAAATGAGAGAAAAAAACCCAAACCAACCCAAACTCAACAACACAACCCAACCGACCCCACCCCATTGGCCCCCCCCCGCCCCATTGAGCAAAAAACCCAACTAAAATGGGCAATAGCCAGAGAATTAGTTGGTTAGTTTACAAACTAGCTAAAGCTTGGCTATTTTGTGTTTCTAGAAATTTTGGTTTTCATATTAGCCAATTTGAATTCGATAGTATACAAACTATCCAGCTATTTTAGTTTCCCTAATAATTTCAAGTAAATTAGCCAAGATCCTTGGTTATTTTGTAAACTAGCCGCTAATTTAGTTGAAAATACATTTTCAATTAAAATAGCTGACAGTTTGGCTAGTTTATAAACTATCCAAGTTTGCACATTAGCCGTAACATATATAATATCCAAGCTTCTATATACAATTATTTGTCTAATGTGCAAGAGATGAAGAACCACATTCATCATATTAATTGGCGTGAATATATTACATTTAAAAATATTACTCATAGCCTTGCGTTGTATTTTTTGAAATCAATATGAGGTGTAATAATAGATTTATATAAAAGCAATTTTATAGGCATTGACAAACATGAACTTACTCTATAATATAGACATGTTTTTATATTATAAAAATTTGTGTTTTTGTGAAATTTTTTTAATAACATAATTTGAGTGACTTTTAAAACTTTGATTTTTATCCATGGATACTGCAGTATACCAACTAAATACTTTTTCTCATACTTTTCCAAATAAAACACCATTTATTTTTATGCATAAGGAACTGTCCACATAATTTGAATTAGATCCTATAATCATATATTTTGATTTTTCAACATTAATACCTAAATAATTATAGCACAACCATTTAAAAATATTACTCAAATCATTATTAATTAAATTAAACATACTATCTATATTTACCAACTAGTGAACTTTGATTTTTATCCATGGATACTGCAGTATACCAACTAAATACTTTATCTCATACTTTTCCAAATAAAACACCATTTATTTTTATGCATAAGGAACTGTCCACATAATTTGAATTAGATCCTATAACCATATATTTTGATTTTTCAACATTAATACCTAAATAATTATAGCACAACCATTTAAATTATTACTCAAATCATTATTAATTAAATTAAACATACTATCTATATTTACCAACTAGTGTCATCCGCAAACAGTGAAATTTTGCAATTTTTTATACATTTAACAATATTATTGATATAGAGTACCGTAAACACGGGTGGCTTTGGCTCACTTTCAAACTTCAGCTTAAAATTTTTGTGGTTTTAACAATCATAAACATTAAATTTTGTATACCAAAATTTGAGTCTTGAGTTGCTCTTTCATAATAACTATGTTATAATATTACATAGGGCTGAGTTTCAAAAATAAACATTAAAAACTGGGTGTGCAAAGTTACCCCCTGGTTGCGGGTTACTTTGTCTCACAGTGTTTTTTCAGTATAAAATGAATGTAATATTATATTTTATTTTTATTAGACACGTGTTAGCAGCGACATATATCTATTGCAAGGGATTACCAATAAAAAAAATAAAAAATCGACCTGTAGTTAACCAAGGATCATCATTCCAATGGATTGCGCATAATATAGAAATTGTAACGCGTGTATTTCTAGAGTTTTGCACTGATACGATATATACAATTTTAAAGTGTAATAAATCCCATTTCTTTCTTTAAAACACTGATTTTCCTGTAATATAAACTCAATAGAATCGCTCAATTGACAGGTTTAGACCAACAAATTATAAATGTTAATTTTATCGAGCGCGAAAAGATTTTTCATAAATGGGTTAAAGTCACCCGCGGCACACTGGGGTATTTGGACACCATGAAGGGACAAAATTTATTTTCAAAATAGGTTGAGAGTTTTAAGTCGGAATAGGCTTTAATATCCTGGAAATATGTTGACAATAGATATTACCTTAAAATTATCGAATATATACAGGGCGTTTCATTTTCAAAATAGGTTGAGAGCTTTAAGTCGGAATTCCGACTATTAATAGGCTTTAATATCCTGGAAATATGTTGACAATAATTATTAACTTAAAATTATGGAAATATATACAGGGGGTTTCATTTTTTCAGGTTCATAAAAATTTTTACTACTTATCCAGTATAGCTTCAAGAAAAATAACAAAACATACCAAGTAGGTAGTTAAACCTTTTTTTGCAGTATTATTTTATAATAATGTTGAAATTTTGCACACTTGACAATACTGAATTGCATATTTTATTTACTAAAACGGTGAAAATTAAATAAATAATTGCGGGAAAAAATACAGAAATCAATTTTTTTTTAAATCCATTGTTTTATTTTGACAGAGTTGATAAAGCTAAGATTATTAGTTAATCGATCTTACTCTTTGGGTTATCAAAACTGACATTTTGTTCCGCCATATTGAATTTTTTGAATTTGTGAAAAATATTTCTTTAAGTTTACAAACCTACCTAATAGATTTTTATTGACATCGGGATAACAGTTCATGAATTATAGCCAATCAAAAATTAAAGTGGCCGCCATTTTGATCTGCCATGTTGGGGTTTTTAAAAAAACTAATCAAGTCTTTCTGTTGTTGTACGTAAGTCGCCTGCCAAATTTCATCAAAATTGAATCAATACTTTTTGAATTATGCTGACCAAAATAATTTAATACATTGGTATTGTGCAAAAATGACGTGTTAACTGCTTTTAACATTATATTCAGGGATTTACGGAATAGCAAATATTAGCAATTTTTTTTTACGGTTTCATAATAAACGATGATTGGACATTATTCTGTGATGAACTATTCATTTCGGAAACGCCCGGAACACAACAATAACCTCTGCCAAAATAAGCAAAAATTAAAAGAAAACTTCTAATTTGCGATACTGACAAACAACGCTCTATATAAAATCAACAGACATATTAAATTAGTATGTGCCACTACGGTAAGAATCTAATGGCTTACCTAAATATATTTTTGCCCAAAAACAGGAAAAGTTCACTCTTCGCTTTTCCTGAAATGGCTGTGAAATTTTGAAAATAAATTTAGAGTAACTATGACAGCAAAGCGTTCAATCAACACTGATATCTTTGGCATGCTGTCACCGCCCGTTTTAAGTGAGAGCCTACTAGTTTTGCTTGCGCTAGTTTAAGCAATGTCTTTAGTTTATTTTTGCATTAGATTTCTAACATAATTAACAATGTATGTTTTTTCCTTTTTGTCCCTTCGATAGGCATCCATACTCCAGTGTGCGCGGGGTGCAAAGTCACCCGTATTTACGGTACCAATACTCTATAGAGTTTATATAAGTTTTATATAAGTTTATAAACTTTTGTTTATACATAAACAAAAAATTTGTAATATGCAGTTTTGTAAGGTAAGAGTTTATTTTGTTATTGTTTAAGAAATTATTTCGTTAAAAATGTACACGTGATTTCAGGCAGTCAATCAAAACATTTCCCACTGACAATACGCATCAACAAGACATGTTCAACTATTTGGTTGGATTATTGACATATGATTTTGTTAATAAATCTACAAAATGTTTGTTATAATTACAAAGTACTTATTCAATTAGTTAACAGATTACAGTTGGTTGTAAACTTAACATAATGTTATGTGGTCCTGGATTAACATAAAATCTGGTTAACATTTGGTTAAAATTAACAAACATTTTTACTGTGTGTGTTTTATAATTGATTTTTTTCTTACCCTAAAATGCACATTAAGAATGCGATCAAGTGAGTTTTCGTTGTTGCCATATTGCTGACAGTGGTTAAAATTTCAGCATGACAGCTTGGACAGGTTGTCCTAGTAGGTTCACGAGCAAGGGGTACTGAGGGTTGTACAAGAACAGCTAAAAATAAAAATACATCAGCAAAAAAATTAAATCGAAAACTATTTATTTTTTTCCAGTTGAAAAACTAGAGTATGCATAGGCAATGCATGGAAAAACTTATCTTTGCATAATGCATGGGCAAAATTAAAGGTACCAATAATAGGAGCATGCAATATGCTGTTAATTTGTAATATTTTTATATACATATAAAATTACGTGTCATTATTATACCGCGAGACGAGACGAGACGAGATAAGGCCTTGTCTCGTCTCGTCTCGAAATTTCGAGATAACATTTTTCGAGACGAGACGAGACAAGTTCGAGACGAGACGAGACAAGGCCTTATCTCGTCTCGTCTCGTTTTGTCTCGTTTGTCTCGAATTGTTTTGGTTTTTTGGTTTATCTCAATTTAATTTTGAATTATCGGATAAATTCAATAAAAAATGTCTTACTCAAAAAACAAAAAAGATATAAGCTCTTCAAAAGTGGGATAAACTAAAATGATAACGCAGTTATTCGCCTCACTCTTAATAGATCCACGTCACAAATTGGAAACCTTTTCAATGACTTTCTGTGGTGCAGAAATCATACCAAAAATTTTAAACAATTTATTGTAAAAATACGCACCGACTAGGCCAATTCCACCAATACAAGAAACTGAAGAAAAATCTGGCTCAGATGAAGACATGGATATTGAATTTTTATTCAAAAAGGCTACTCCTCAATCCGAAACTGAAGCGTTTTGGAAACAAGAACTAAACGCATACTTTTATTCAGAGAGAGCATCAAAAGGGGAAATATTGTTGGAATGGTGGAAAAGAAATGAAGTAAATTATCCACACATTTCAAAGATGGCAAGAGACCTATTAAGTATTACCGCAACAAGCGTTCCTTCAGAACGCCTTTTTTCAAAAGCTGGATTAGTAGTCACTGAACTTCGAAATCGACCTAATGCTGAGTCGGCTCGTTCATTATTATGTCTTAATTCATGGTACACTTGTAGGTACGTTAAAAGATAAGCTAAACTTTGATTAGTGAAACTAACCTATTCCTATACTTACCCCTATTTACCCCTAGTTACCTATTAGCGCTTGAGAAGGCACGACGCGTGTGTGAAAGCTCTTAAAACGTAAAGTTTAAAGATTAAAACCAACAATAATTTTTAAAAAGTGCAAAATAATAAAGTGAAACAAACAATTTTCATAGATTGCAAACTAAAATGGTGTAACGGTCATTGAGGAGTGAAGTGTTAAGTGATATGAATGAGTTAAGTGCCACCTGTCATTGGACGCTTTTCACTGGACAAACAAAGGAGGTCAAACAAGAGGGGAGGTGGCCATCCGCAAAAAAATTGATAAGTTACCTTAAGAATATGCATGACCTAATACAAAATCTGCAATTTAAATACGGCATATATCTTTAGGGCAATAAATCTGTCAACAACAAATGCGTAATGCAATCCCAAACGAAACCGAAAATAAACACTAGACTCACAGAATAAACTAACACATTAATCACTATAACTAAAAAGCCTAATAACCAAACTCTACTAGATTTGTAAACATTAGATAACAGAATAATTGCGCTTGTCATTTGTTTAACTAATAAATAAATGCAATACTTAATTTTGGAATTTAAGAAAAAAAGACAAAACTCCACCACAAAACGTGCTTGGGACAAAATTTATTAAAAACAACTGACACACTTTACCAAGTGCAGAAACTATCTGACCAGGATACGGACAATGACAATAACGAACAAGACAAAGACCTCGACTAGGAAACTACACCCCTGCAGCGAAATAACTCCCAAACTCCAAATAGTAATCCCAAATGTTTGGAGTAATACTAATCGACTGGTCTAAGGGGATTCCGCGTCTTACTTAGTTTTAAGTCGACGTAATTGTCCCCCAAAAACCAACACCCTCCCGTCCCTCCTCCTATACCCTACTGGGCGTATAGCATCGGCTCTGCGAACCCGAGAATGGCTATTAAAACTATTCGCACCTCGCTCTCGAGCCCCAAATAGGGGACAGTACGGAACGCAATGGACATTCGCACCCAGCAAACATAGGTGAAGCCGTACAGTTGCTGGGGGCGAACAAAAATCGGCGTAAGTAAACATAGGCCTGTACGGGGTCCGAGAGTGATGATGAAATGGGGCTGGTTATACGTCTCATATACTCATACTCATACTTACCTATTTCCCTGTAATTTGATATTCGTACTAACAATATTAATGATATATTTAATATTTATTTTCAGTTTAGAGTTTATTGATTTATTTTGTTTATTATAAAATACATTTATTTGGTTTCTTTTTTACTGTTTATTCTTTATAAGGTATGTATGTATGTCCTCGAAAACACCATGCAGTTTTTGAATAAAGGTTTTATATTTTATTACAAGTTTTATTTTAACAATTTATATGAACAAATTACCAGCTCATACCCTATAATGCTGTTTTTTGCTAATTCTGAAGTTAAAAACAATTATTAAAACTTAAATGCTGTTATTATCATTCGTTTAAAGCGTATTAAGTCATTAAAATATTTCGAATATGTCTCGAATATGTCTCGTCTCGTCTCGTCTCGCCTTGTCTCGAGGGATGTTATCTCGTCTCGTCTCGTCTCGAAATTCGAGACAAAATGCTCTCGAGACGAGACAAAATGGCTTCGAGACGAGACGAGACGAGACGAGACGAGACGTCTCGTGTCTCGTGTCTCGCGGCACCTCTAGTCATTAATGATTAATCAAGGCCCAAACTAAACCACAGGACCTAAAGGGTCTAAAAATTTGATAGTGTATTCCTATATGACATGGATAACAGCCAAAAGAGGATTTTTTTAAAGTTAAAATTAATCCCGGCGCATTCGCCATTTTTGAAAGCATTTAAAAATAAACCATTTTCGATTTTTTAGAAACTTTTGGGTGGACCGGAAAAACCAAAGATCCAAAATTTTGGATATTTGGATAAAGTGTTCGTATTACTCATAACTTTGACTTCTGCCATCTAATGGTACAACAGTATGATTCCAATTGAAACCCTACAGGGTTTTCCAATCTTCCTTATACTTTTGCATTAATTATTGTAATTAATTAAAATATTAAATATTAAGGTGATTTGTAATTTTTATTGTAATTAGTTTCTATATACTTTTTTCGCAAAATTTATTTTTATAACAAACGTCTTTTAACGTTCAAAAAAATAATGTAAAAATAAAATTAAGAAAAAATAAAAATGAGTCATGTAGAATCAAAAGCAAAAATGTCTAACTAACATATTAGATAATACAGTAGTTACAACAGTTATGCTTGACACGGCAGAGGACATGTAAAAGCGTAAAAGTTCTAAAGTACTCGAATATACTTACGGTACATGCTTTGTTTTCCATCGGAATAAACTGGTGCTGATGCCATTTTTGCTAAAAATAAAAAATAATTAAATGTAACTGTATTTTTTCACCGTTTTCTTCAGTTTTTTTTTATATTTTATTTTTTTTTTAACTTTCTTTTATTAAACCAATCCAGCAAAGTTTTGGCCTTCTGGGCCCTTTTGCGCAAAAAAAACAAATATAGGTAATTTAAAATTTTAGCAAAAATCCGTAAACGGTTGAAATAAGAAAAAAAAAGTAAATACATTTTTTGTAAAATAAATAAAATATAAATAAATTTAACATATTTAATTATGTTAAAGTTATCCAGATTTTAAATCATATTAATTATTAGTTTAGGTTAAAATAACAATTAAAAAAAAAATAAAATTAACACAACACGATTTGTTAAATTAACTTTTCAGTTATGTAAAAAAAATAACATATATTAATTTTCTTTTACAAATTCTGTTGTGTTAAAAATTAACACTGTAATAAAAATCAAAAAAACTAAAAAATTTGTGGATTTTCTGGGACACAAGAAATATGTTAAATATACATATAAATTTTTTACTGTGTAGTATTAGTTTGGAGTACGCCCCCATTTATCTACTATCATATTTATTCCATTTAAATCCATGGCTTTTATTAAAAAATTCTTAAATTAAGTATTTGTTATTTGATAACCTCTGTTCATGCTATTTCCTAATAGTCTTATATTACTTTTTTCTAAAAATAATAATAAAGTTTAAAAAAAACTATTCTAGTTAAAAAAAGTAATGTAGGCCAGCGATAATTGATATCCAGCCCGTACAAATAATTTTGTGGTCTTTATGGGAACAATTGGATGCGTTGAGACACTCCCTTATTGGGCCAAAGGTATGTACGTGTGTGGCACGCCTTAGGTCATTTACACGCAAGCCAAATAAAAGCTAGTACTTAGTAGTTAATTAATTCCTGTTTATATAATTATTATAAAAGTGATGATGCCAATTTTGATAATTAATTTTTTTCCCCAAAAAATGATAGTAATGCAATGGAATTTGATTTTTTATTAGGCACATTTAGTTTAATTGGTACAGTCATTTGTAATTAAAGTTGTGATTAGTCTATAAAAAACAATGATTAAAATTAAAATGATAGAGCTTGCCAATGAACTCGTATAATATTATGTAAATATATTATAATATTAAAGTTCCTCAACAATTTTCCCTAAATATTTAAATAAAATAAACAAACCAATTTATAATATTACTAAAAATAATAAAGAAATCTTAATCTTAACTTTAGAATACCTATTATTAACGTACTTAATTAAAATATGGTTAACAACATATACTTTATATTATAGAAAATCTAAAAATATTTTTTCATGGAGTGCTCAGTAAAAATAGAAAAAAAAAATTCAAGGTTTTAACAGCTGTAAACTACTAAATTTAGTTTAAGTTTTAGTATCTTAAAAAAATATATGTGGCTAAATTATTTTCTGTTCTTGGGAAAGTGTCCATGAACAAAAACTCCTCAAAGTTGATCGTTTCCATATATGGTCCAAAATGTGTTATTATACCTTTTTAAATACCTATTTATACATTTATGATCTGACCCCCTTTTAATTTTAAGTTAATACGCGTAATACTATTGAAACTTGTATTTTGGTTTAGCATAAATTAATGGTTATTTTTGCGTTTTAAAGTTGTATGAAACAATTTTTTTGAAATATAGACGTATTTTTAGATAAACTTCTGAAAGTGAAAATCCGGAGCATTTAATAAACTAAAAAAAGTACTTTTTTGAAAAAGGCTTTAATGGGTGAATATCCAAAACGGGGATAAATTGGGGTGGTAAAAAAATAAAAAGCAAAGATTAATAAAACGCTAGCAAAATAATACCTCAATGTGTATTTCTTAATAACATAAAGTAATTTCAAGGCGACTATAAATTAAACTTAATATATACATATAGTTATAATAATAATAATACTTTTAGAAATTTTTTTTTTAAAGAAAAATTAAATTAAATTTATTATAATTTAACTATATATTATTTATTATCGTTAATAATGCCTTAACTTATATGAGCTAAGAGTTTAGGGCAATAATAAGAAATTAAACAACTCCATGGACAACCTTTTAACTCCATGGAGTTGATGTCCATGATGTCATTTTTTATAAATATTTTGGAAAAATTTTACTTCATGGTATATTAACTGCTTTAGGCTCACTATGTTGAAATATACAAGGTGTGTTCAGAAAATATCGGGAATTTTCGTTTTTTGTAACAAATATTTATTTATTCGTCTACATTAATGTTGTCGCCTTCAAAATAGTCCCCATTGGATATTATGCACATGTGCCAGCTCTTCTTCCAATACTCGAAACACTTCTAAAACTCGATCTTTGGGATAGCCTTTAGTTTTTTCAGCGATGCGCTTTTAATGTCATCTATGCTTGCAAAACGACGACCCTTTAAGGTTCTCTTTATTTTTGGGAATAGGAAAAAGTCATATGGAGGCTGGGACATCATTACAGTATTGTTTTTGGCCAAGAATTAAATTTAACAATTTTAGAATAAATTTTGCTGCAACGCGTTTCATACCCAAAACATTCGAAAAAATTTCATGGGATGAGCCAATCGATATACCAACATCATCAGCGACATCTAATGGTTTATAACCATTTCTTACACTTTTTCCATGTTTTTATCGGTTGTTAATGTGCTTGTGCGTTCGGGGCCTTCGTCATCAACGTATTCACACTGGCGGATAGCCGTACCGATTCCACTTTGATTCCTCGATCCCCGCATGCGCGGTAGTGTTCTGTCACTTTTATTGTTATCGACAATCTTCACGCGGACATTTAATGTAGGGTTTATTATAATAATCTAAGTATAAAATTACTTCTTGCGAAGCTTCGAAACCAATCCAAACTCAACAACCCGACCCAACCGACCCCCGCCCCATTGGCCCCCCCCCGCCCAATTTTTCAACGAAGGAATATTCATATAATTACATATTATATTATATAACTGTAGCAAAATGAATATTAATGTAAAATTAAATAATAATCCTTTTCGCTATATAAATAAAAATAAAAAAAAAAGTTGTAGGCGCCAAGAATCGAACCTGGTATCTCTCGCATACAAAGCGGGCGCTCTTCAATCGGAGCTACCGAGCTTATTGAATAATTCCTTTTGTTTTGAAAATAATACCAGTTTACAGTGTGTGACGTGTGAAGCATGCGGGGATCGAGGAATTAAAGTGGAATCGGTACGGCTAGCCGCCAGTCGTATTCACGGCCATCTTGGAAACTCTTATACCACTTGTAAACTCTTGTTTTACTTATAGCAGACTCACTATAGGCCTTTGTTAACATTTCACAGAATTTATTTCATTTTTTAAGCAAAATTGGATACAAATTCTTTGATCCATTTCTTTCGAACAAACGAATATCGCCGAGCTCATAAAACACGTCTAACCTTAGCGGCTGCCACAGACAAAGTAAACAATGAAAACAGATAAAGTTTTTATCATACTTCCGGGCCATGTATACCAACATAATAAAAACAAATTTATGACAACCGGACCCTCCGAACCCGCGAAATTTAACAATTCCCGTTATTTTCTGAACACACCTCGTATATCTACTAAAAAACAAAAACAAAATAAAATGTTAATAAACAGACATAAAGTAATTGTAGCGTTATTTTTAAGTTAGTACGGTATTTAGTTTGTTTTTATTAGTTTATTCTTTTGGATCACTTGTATAGTAATTATGTAGTAAAAATAGCATTTCGCATATTTGGTAATTTTTCGTTTTGTAAAGTTATTTTACCGATTTCGTTTACTATTAAAATAAATATCTAGTTATTTTAACTTAAAATGCTGCTTGAGAACTGCTTCCTACGCATTTACAAAATAGATAGACTATTTTGTTGGACATTTTTTGTTTGCTCTTATATAATTTTTTTTATAAGTATACTTATAAAAAAATTGTGCAGTCGGAAAAATCTTTAAAAGGGTAGGCATTTAAAAAAAATCACCCCCCATAATCGTAACCTTCGCTACGTCCCTGCGCTTTCGTAAGGGGCAACACTGGCTAAGTTATAAAGTTCTGAAATAACCAAAGTTTTTTCATTTATAAAAAAACTTTGGTTATTTCAGAACTTTATAACTTATACATTAATTAAATTGAAAATTGCGACTAAATATTTTTGTTGTACCAAAGACTCTAATGTAAAAACAGTGGATTTTTAGTATAAGTAGGCGCCACATGGTAATAAAGCGACGCTGCGGCGCCTCTTTTGTTTACTGCCAATGCCAAATTATGTAACGAAATGTGAAGGTCGTGTTTCGCGAATTTTTTCGGTTGGTTTCTGAGATTGAAAAAATAATAAAAAGAATCTGTATGGTATGGAATAAATTAATTACATGAATAAATATTTATAATATTATATATATATATATATATTATATTATATAATATATTATCTTGAAAGTTATTTTGCGCTTTATTTTATACCTTCGATATTGCGGAAATAAAATTGTTCCAGATTTTAAATGATAGTAAATTACTATTAGTAATAAAAATAAAAAATTTTTTTTAAATGATATAGGTCAACCAAAATTTAAACTGTTGCGTCATACGTAAATTGGCCAATTGGGTTTATCTTTATTTTATTAAAATGATTCTAATAATTAACGTTTCATTTAATAAATAATTAATAATAATAAATTACAGTGACAAGAAAGAGACCAGTCTTCCACAAAAGAAAACTCAAAATTATCTTTTTAAGTTCATAAATATATTTATTGTGATCAATTTCTGTTAAACAACAAATGTATGGTCTCTTATTCAAAATGATATTATTCACACTTTCCAACATTAAAATAACTTACATAAAAATCAATTTATAAAGTTAATTTTTATAAAAATATTCTATAATAAAGTTTATACCCATTCCAAAATATAAATCTTATTGAAACTTAACAATCTATTCTTAGCGAGTTAAAATTAAATTTAAAAAATAATAGATACAGCTATAATATGTTACTTTACGAGTATATTTCAACATTTTAACTTTTAACAAAGGAAAAATAAGGAGTTTTTAAAAACTTGTTTTGCAAAACAAATTCAAAATTATTAAAGTTTTCCAAACAAAAAAAAACTAAAAGTTCTATTTACCTTTTTTTGTTTTGCGTTTCTTCGGTGGATCACAAGTTACTAACCGATGTAAATTATTATGTTGCAGATCAAATTTTCTTGTGTAGGTACACTCTCCGTTGACAAAATTGAAATAAGCCGCCCGGATTAGACCAAAGATTTTGATAGCTCTACAAAGGATGTTGAATGTTTTGTATGCGCGTGTCTTGTTAAAAAGTATATACAGGGTCTCCCGAAAATTGCGCAATAAGGCATAAAGACCTCGGTCATTAGCCTTTTGGTTTATTCCAAAAAATAGTACCTATATTATTATACGAGATTATTCCGTTTTAAAATTTGGGAGCATTTAATATCAGTGATGAACAAAAAGTTAAACAAATTTCGGTTCAAATTAACTTGTGATTCATGTTTTCAACTTTTGCTATCGGGTACTGGGGCGGCCAAGCATATTCGCCCTGGGCGCGAAATTCATATTTACGTCCCTGTATAAATCTAATTATGTAATGGCATTTGAAGGTCGCGTCCTCGGATATATATCTCTTTGGTCGGTTGCCTTACTTGAAAAGAATAATAATATAACCCATGTTTAGATAATTTTTGGCATGACCTAATCCGTCTGTATAGTATGGACACTAAATAAAATATGTTTTTTTAATTTTAATTAAGTATGTACTTCAGTGGCGGCTCGTTACCATTCATGAAGGTGAGGCCCATGAACCGCTATATGCCGCCGCAGGTAATTTTTTTTGAAATTTTCAGTCTCTCGTTTTTAAAGCACTTCAGAATATAAATAATAAAAATATAAGTAAAATCATGTCCTTTCAAGAGAAGAATTTTCAAAATTTAGCTAGAATAATACAAAAAGTGCGGGACGAGGTGGGATTTTTATTTATTCCTTCAGCAGGTTTCCACATTACCCAGGAGGTACTGCTCATTTTTACCTATCTTACAATAATTATTTTTAGATTAATAAAGGCACAACCGCACAACAATAAAATAATAATGTACAGGGTGGTCCACGTAAGGTGACCCATATACTTATCTCAGAAACTACTGGAGTCACAAAAAATTTGTAAGGAACAAATATTCACGAAGTAAAAAATATTTTTAAAATATTATATTTTCATTTATACAGGGTGTTCGGTTTTCCTTGGGACGATACCAACTTTCTTATTTTCAATGGAACACCCTGTATTTTTTTGCATTTTTGGATTCTTCCCACTCTTTTAGGTATACTTTGTAAATATAATAAATAAGAAAATGTTAATACTTTTTGAGTAAAATTAAGATTTATTAAAATTTCTCTAAATGTAGACACTCGCTAAAAGTTAAAAATAACCAACTAAAAGTTATTATTTTTTATATTGTGTAGTATCCATCTCTTTAATAATAAGTAAGCTATAAGTTAATTATTATATTTTTTGGAAAATATCATACAGGGTGTTTTCTATGTCCCGTTGAAAATAGCGATTTTAAAAGTTTAAAATCTTGTTTTTATTCAATGGAACACCCTATATATTTTTGCATAATTGGATAGAATAAGTAATTACCTTTCATTTTATATATACATGTCCTATACCTTAACCTAACAGAAAAAAAAAATATTCGCATTTTTCACAATTAGTAGCTTTTTTCCAATTACCTTAGTTAAATTTTCATTATTCAAAGAAAACACCCTGTATAATATTTTCCAAAAAATAAATTAATTAACTTATAGCTTACTTATTATTAAAGAGATGAATGCTACATAATATAAAAAATAATAACTTTTAGTTGGATATTTTTAACTTTTAGTGAATGTCTACATTTAGAGAAATTTTAATAAATCCTCATTTTACTCAAAAAGTATTAACATTTTCTTAATTAATATATATACAAAGTATACCTAAAAGAGTGTGTAGAATCCAAAAATGCAAAAATATATAGGGTGTTCCATTGAAAATAAGAAAGTTGGTATCGTCCCAAGGAAAACCGAACACCCTGTATAAATAAAAATATAATATTTTAAAAATATTTTTTACATCGTGAATATTTGTTCCTTACAAATTTTTTGTGACTCCAGTAGTTTCTGAGATAAGTATATGGGTCACCTTACGTGGATCACCTAAAAAAAATATTCGCATTTTACAAAATTAGTAGCTTTGCGCGTATGGTAATTATTATAGTAATATATATTTATATATAAAAGCATTTTTATTTGTTGTTATAGAAATTTATTTATTTGAATAATGAAAATTTAACTAAGGTAATTGGAAAAAAGCTACTAATTGTGAAAAATGCGAATATTTTTTTTTCTGTTAGGTTTAGGTATAGGACATATATATATAAAATGAAAGGTAATTACTTATTCTATCCAATTATGCAAAAATATATAGGGTGTTCCATTGAAGAAAAACAAGATTTTAAACTTTTAAAATCGCTATTTTCAACGGGACATAGAAAACACCCTGTATGATATTTTCCAAAAAATGTAATAATTTACTTATAGCTTACTTATTATTAAAGAGATGGATACTACATAATATAAAAAATAATAACTTTTAGTTGATTATTTTTAACTTTTAGCGAGTGTCTACATTTAGAGAAATTTTAATAAATCTTAATTTTACTCAAAAAGTATTATTATTTTCTTAATTAATATATTTACAAAGTATAACTAAAAGAGTGGGTAGAATCCAAAAATGCAAAAAAATACAGGGTGTTCCATTGAAAATAAGAAAGTTGGTATCGTCCCAAGGAAAACCGAACACCCTGTATAAATGAAAATATAATATTTTAAAAATATTTTTTACTTCGTGAATATTTGTTTCTTACAAATTTTTTGTGACTCCAGTAGTTTCTGAGATAAGTATATGGGTCACCTTACGTGGACCACCCTGTACAAGCACAGTAGGTATATGAAACTCAACGATTTAACACTGAACTATAAAAAACATGAATATTTTTATTTATATTTTTTATGATTTTTACTGTGGTATTTGTGTGTTAATGTAATAATATAATAAAATAAAAATGATCTTTTATAATTTTTTGAATTATTTTTACATGAATTCACAACACAATAATGTATTTTACGCTTGCATTTTTATCACAACTTTCCATTTTAACGCTAAGGCAAAGACTAAACAGAAATAAGAAACTATAGTTTTATACACGCATAGATCTAATTAATAAGCTTTGTTTACTAAACATTCCACGCCCCGCCCAGTCTTTTACAACGACTGATAAGCGAGCCGCACAGATCTCGGGACTGACTCTGCTGTCTTCCATATACTGTGGTACAAGCCCAACTTTGTGGGCCTCAATGTCTACAAAAATTTGCCTTGCGGGGGTGCCGGCGGTACCGTGCAGCGGTGGGGAGCATGATGTTGTATCGGCAATGTGTGACGTATATGAAGCGCAAATTTCTGGGATTACTATTTCCCTATTATGCGGTCGGGCAATGATTTAAGCGTTTAGAATTAAAGTTGGAAGGGGTGCGCGCTAAATTTAAAGGAAATGTTTTAAACTTTGATGGTTATTCAATGTTTTGATACTTTTAATGACTGGAAATTAGTTTTAAAACGATTTATATTTAAATAAGTAATGTATCAGTTGCTTTATACGACGAGCCGCCACTGATGTAATATCAATGAAAGTAACATTTTTAGAAATTAAAAAAACGCTATTAAATTATTTCCTTAAATAAAACAGATGGAACCAATAAATTTTTTCTTTAATTAACTCCATTAAATTTTGTAATAGGTCAACCAAAATTTTAAAATGTGTCATCGGTAAATTGGACTGTTTATTTTATTAAATTGATCCTGATAATTTATACTTCTGATGTAATATATTTTTAAGGTTTTATTACAAAACAAAAAGTATAAACTGTATAAAAATTCTAAAGGGGGCGAGAAGGTTTGTACCCCTTAATAATAATACAAAATATTATATATATTTTATAAAAATTTAATAAAAAATCAATTACCAAAGAAACGATGACATTGCTGTGTATTGTACGTAAGTAAAGCCATATGGCTCACATATGTGTGAGCCGTACTGTCAGTATCAACTTAAGTTTGTTTTTTGTGTTTTGCTTGGCAATTGAAAAATTATTAAAAAGTGCGCAATTCTTGGGCATTTGTTTCGTGGCCACTGGTTTTGATTAAACCATGGCCTACCTAAAACGTAAAATCAGTTAGGATTGTCTAATTTCAAGTAAGATTTTATTAATAATTACTTTCGGATAATTGCTTGTTATTTGCAATTTGTAGGTACGTATTTTTAATAAAATAGTATTTATTACTGTTAGGTAGGTATCCCAATGGGAAATGTCAATGATTTTAACTGTCAACTTCCGAATAATTGCTCCAACTTTAATATTTTTTTTAAACAGTAGATTTAATTCAAAAGTGAAAGACCTTGCTTACTTTGGCGTAAACTATCATCCCCTTGTGGGATGAAAACTTATTTAATGACACCCTGTATAAGTGCAATATATTGCTTCATTAAAAAAACAATTTTTTAAAAAGTGGTTGGTCCAAAAATATACCACAAAAATTTTATAGACATTCCAGAATATAAATCTTATTGAAACTTAACAATCTATTAATATATTCTTAGTGAGTTAAAATTGAATTTTAAAAATAATACTCCTACCTACTACTTAAATGTTATTATAGCATTTTAATTATAATACAGCAAAATTAAAATTTAAACATGTACCTATGCTAACAAGAGTTTAAGAACCTGTCTTGCAAGAAACATTCAAAAATTATATAATATATAAAGTCGTTTTTACCTTTTTATTTTGTGTTTCTTCAGCGGATCACAATTTATCTATTGGCCTATGTAAATTTTTCGATGTTGGAGTTCAAACTTTTTAGGCACACACTGTCCGCTGGCAAAATTAACTAGATTCTGTGAAGCAGCATCAAGATTGCACATTTAACCATTGCAGTGTTGTCAGCTTGTGCTTTGTGACGTCACACACTGTAAATCGGTACTATTTTTCGAGATATAGAATTTCTACAATAAGCTCGGTAGCTCGATGGAAGGGCGCCTGCTTTGCATACGAGAGATACGGGGTTCGATACTTGGCGCTTCTACAACTTTTTTTAATTTTTTTTTAAATAATTTATATACCGAAATAATACAATTTGGCCTTAAAAGAATTTATATTTAATTTTACATTAATATTTTAATTTATTTACCTTTCCTCATAATCATTTTGCTACAGTTATAATATAAAATGTAATTAAATGAATATTCCTTGGTTGAAAAATGTTTACTCAATGGGGCGGGTGGGGGCCAATGGGGCGGGGTCGGTTGGGTTGGGTTGTTGGGTTTGGGTTGGTTTCGAAGCCGGCGGACCATAGAAAAACCGTCTTATTATAAAAAGTATCCTTAAATGCGATCTTAGTTGCATATATTCAAGTTCTGTTCCAACTGGCAACACTGTAAATGTTGAATGTGCAATCTTGATGCTGCTACACAGAATCTAGTGCAAAATTAAAGTGAGCCCGGATTAGACTAGATTTGATGGCACTCTGAAGGCCACGCAGTAGGGTGGGCCTCAATATTATTTTTTCAGGCCCCCGGCATTTAGATTAATAAAGTTTTTAAAACCTCTTTACGCCAATTAGGTAAATGTTTACTTTTATTTAAATGGCACACTTTTATCTAGAAATAATGTATTGAAAAAATTTTGGTTTTTAAATTGATACAAACTGTACAAGTCTATAGTTTTGATATTTTTTACCCAATTGAAAAAATATTTATACCAAATTTTGGATAATTTCATATATTTTAAGAAAATTTAAATAATTTAAATAAATGCCGAGACTATTACCAAAATATATGAGGCGCCGTTTTATCTTTTATTCCGAAATTAATTTTATGTGCTAACCCTGATTTTTTTAATTAGATACAAAATATCATAAAAATTTTTATTCTTCGAATTATATAATTTTTATGCTAAACTGATATTTTTAATTTACTATAATTAAAATATCTGTTTCTTATAATGTAGGTATATTTGTATTTTTTTGTTAAAATATTTTATTTTTTACCCAATTAAAAAAATGTGTATAGGTACCAAATGTTATTATATTATATTTGTATTTTTTTGTTAAAATATTTTATTTTTTACCCAATTAAAAAAATGTGTATAGGTACCAAATGTTGATAATTTTATTTACTTTAAGAAAATATGAAAAACTTGATATGCACCTACTAATTTTTCGAGATAATCAATAAAATGCAAAGTCGTGTCAATTTTAATTCTTTTTAAAATAAAAAAGCAATTTGGAAGTCTATATATAGACTATAGTTTTGTTATTTTTTACCCAATTAAAAAATATATACCAAATTGTTGAATAATTTCAAAATTTAAGAAAAATATAACTTAATATGCTCCAGTACTAATTTACATACTTTCGCACGTTATCTTTCTCACATAAATCCCACTTAAACAAGTTCAAAAACATATTTTTTTACTGAAACATTTTTTTCTTCATAAATAAACCATACAATTTTGAAATTTATCAAAAATACGACCGTTATCTTTTAGAAATCCCACTTTCGAACAACGTTCGATAGTTTTAAAGACCATATCTTGTCTTCTGAAAAAAGTTTATTATCTTTAGTATTAAAAAACTAGAATACCCCTGCAGCGTAGGCAACACATATAACATATAACGAAATATTGTTATCTTAGTTGCATATTATACTTATATATATATATAAACAATTATATTATAACTTGTGTATTTAAAAAGCTTTATAACAATAAAACAGAATAAATTTAATTTAAATATTCCGAGTTAACAAAGCTAAAATGTAAAATTATTCTGTAAATTTTTTAATATCTTTACGTTGGTAGTTTTAGGTTATTATAACTAATTAGTTTATCTGCTGCAATTTGAACTACTAAAATTTGACGGTTTTTGGTATTTTGTGCAACAAGTTATTGTTTATTTTTTATAAATATGTCTTCCTTTCATTTTTAGTAATAAAAGGCTGGTTAGTTGTGATTGTATGCCGGTATTAATAATTTAAAGTAGGGGTGTGATTTTCGGGTATTTACAGAACTTTTTATCTCGTTATGAACTGTCATTGTTCTGTGTTCACAAGGTTCTATAAATAAGTTAAAGTATGGATAATTACCCTATACTAAGGGAGATATTCCCCAATAAAAGCGAGAACACAATAAAAGAAATGATAGGGCTTGCACAGGAGCAAAATCCAGGTGATCCAAATGACTTGTTATTGGAAAACATTATAAATCTTTTAACTGAGTCTGGAGATTCAACATTTGATTCAAGTACTGTAAGTGATAATGAATATGAAGCTGCTTACGATGATGAAAATGAAGGAGCAGTGGGCTACGACTATCAACAAATGAATGCATCAATTATAGGCAGTAAGTTTTTTTAAATATTAAAATGTATTTTTATATAATTGTAATATTTGTTTAAGATAATTTGGATAGAATTTATAATCATTTAATTGAGGTTTTACCCAAAGCCGATCCAGACTATTTGAGGGAAAAGGCTGACATTTTTTGTAATCAACCAGAAAATTGTGTTACTGATTTCATAGATAATGCCTTAGAGAATAATGATTATCCCACTAGAGAGGATTATGTGAAGTAAGTATTTTTCTCTTTGATATTACTGTAGGTTTTAATTAAAGTGGATAAAGGGGTTAAGTAACATTTTTAATAATAAAGGAAAAAAATATTGTAATTGCAAACCTACTATCTTTATTAACAATCACAAAATTGTTTTATTTTTCAAGTTAAATGTAACATAACACCTTCAAACAAAAAATAGTGAAATTGCAATTCCAAGTTTATTTTTTTCAACTTGTCCCTTCAATTTATTCATGGCAGTAGATTTAATATTTACCATATACAGGGTGTTAATTCTAGGATATTAATCAGTAAGTCAACTAAACAAAAATGTTATGCATATGCAATTTGGTCAATTTTACATTTAAACATTTTATATGTTATGTTATGTTTTAAATGTTACTGATATTAAAATAAAATCTGAAACTGACAACATTCCATCATAAACCAAATCTATCTATAACTGGCTTGAATAACAAAGGATCTTAGAAGTGAGGTTAGGTATCTGTCACTTTCAGTCAGGGTTTGCAAACATGTTTTTTTTTATAGAGAAAAACAAAAACATGTGTTTTTGTTTTTAAGCACTTTATTTTAAACTGTTAAAAACGTTTGTTTTAATCATCTCAACTCTGCCCAAAATGAACACATTAAAAAAAAACTAAATAACCAAAACATGTGTTTTTCAAATAGAATGATATATTTATTGTCACCCTAAAGTTTTCACCAAATTCTTTTTAATTTTCATAATACAATTAGTTTAAATTTTAAAATATTGTTTAAAAGTTTTTAAAATTAAAACAGTTTTAAATGTCTTGTTTAGAACCTGTTGAGGTTAGGTATCTGTCACTGACAGTTAAATTGGGAAAAAAAGATGGTGCTGTTAACTCAAAATCTAGTAGGCAAAAAAAAATCACAAACTAGATTAAAATGTAGATAAATTTTTATCTTTATAAGTAAAACTTTTTTCAAAATTCTCAGGAATATCTAATTTTGGTTTTGAAAGGGTTACAGTTTTTTTTAATAATTCAAGAACCGCTGATTTTTTTCCGTTTTTTAAATGCTAGCTTGTAGCTCTTCAAATAAAAATGATACCCATAACCTGTCACAAGTTTCAAGTTTTTTAAGTTTTTTTCAGAAGATATAAAGTATTATATTAAAAATTATTTCATAGGAGAACCAAAGAACGCAACGAATTCAACAGATACACACGAAACTTCAACGTAAATGAATACTTGCAAATAATCCCAAACCCTATAGAAAAATATTCAAACCAGGATAGAAAGTTGGTTCTGACTGGCAGTAATATAAACGAAGATGACATCAATTACGTTAAAATATTTTTATACAACAAATTCAGATTCGCAAGGAAAAAATACATCGATGATGTATTTGATCCCAATATTAATTTGATAAATATCTGCAAGAGGTTGGATAGGTTACCGCAAAGTTTAAAAAAATGCAGACCTTTGGAAACCAATGGATATACTGCAAATGTAGAATTACTGCAATTGGTAAGTTAATTTTTTTTACATACTGACTTCTCAGTCATTTTAACCAAAGTTGCATAAAAATACAAAAAACAGAGGATTTACTTTAATAAACAGTATTAATGCAAAGAAATCATTTATATTGTTATAATAATATTAATGTTTACTAGGTACATTAATGTGTTATTTATGGCATAATTTTATCTTATTCTTATTTTTCAATTAAGTATCTACAATAATGTTTATATTTGAATTAGTAATAATTCAGATAATATTGCTCAAAATAATTGTCCAGATAAGAATTTATTATATAATAATAAAATATAACTATCAGATAGTCCTCTAAAGTAAACATTCGGAAAAATCTTTTTATATGAATAACATTATCTAGATGTAAACCATCACATCCTGCACAGCAATTCTGAGTTCATATGTTATTTTTCATGAATTTTCTTAACATATTCAAGTGACATCTAAAGCAAGAGCTTATTGCGCACAAGTTTGGGTATCATTATTTGTTTACATTCTAAAAAAAATATTTTTTTTCGATGCCCTGCATAAATGACATTTTAATTACATAGGAAAATTTCATAACTCGCTAATTAATAGACATGCAAAAGTAGGGTGTCTGTTATTTACAAACAATTTTTCATTGCATAATATTTTATAAAATTTAATAGAATTTCACAGAAATAAAAAGATTATGTAAAAAAGGTAATTGTAGGTACTAGGTAAATTCTCATATAACTTGTTTCGATGCTGTATCCACTTATTTTTGTGAAAACTAATTCTCGCTCAAGGTTTTTTTTAGTGTAATGAGCAAGTAGCATTTTAAGGTAATGGGAACTTAAATTATGACAACCCTAATCTATTAATTTTTTCCTAAAATGCAGGCTTTATGTTGCAAATGTCACATAAGTTACCGGTCACCAACTGCAATATCCTAACATTGATGAATATTTTAACAAAATGGCTGTTGAAACAACTAATGTTAGTGCTTGATTAACTCAATATAGACTTAATTAAGATTGACGAAAAATTCTTTTATCCGAAATCGGCAGTAAAGTAGAACTTTACTGCCGATTTATTTTAATTTACGATTGTTGACTACTTTACTGCCGATTTCGGATAAAATAATTTTTTGTCAATCTTAAGTCTATTTTTAGTTAATCAAGCACTAACATTAGTTGTTTGAACGGTCATTTTGTTGAAATATTCATCGATGTTAGGATATTGCAGTTGGTGACCGGTAACTTATGTGACATTTGCAACATAAAGCCTGCATTTTAGGAAAAAATTAATAGATTAGGGTTGTCATAATTTAAGTTCCCATTACCTTGAAATGCTACATGCTTATTACACTAAAAAAAACCTTGAGCGAGAATTAGTTTTCACAAAAATAAGTGGATACAGCATCGGAACAAGTTATATGAGAATTGACCACTAATTGTATAGTACTAGATTTGTTTAATGTAATAAAAATATTTTAATTTATCGGAATCTCTTGTCAATAATTTTCTCTTATCTCTTTTCAATGATTTTTACTTTTTCAATAATACAATAAAATCACATATTTTCAAAAATAAACAATTCATTTTCATAAAAATAATAATTTTAATCGAAAAAATAACTATAAGTTTAACTTTAACCTTAAATAACTTTTAAACCAGTGAATTTATTAAAAAATTATCAGTACGCTTTTTTGTACAGCGTTCAATTTCCTATAAAAATTTGTTACTCTTATTGCTGTATATTAACTTGCTCGGGAGAAAAAAATTAAATGTAAAACGTGCCGAATCCCCATGTAATTTAAATGTGAAATGTATCGTCTTTGTGGCAAGGTTTAGTATGAATATTAAGGCGCCAGTGTCACAAAATTTATCAAATGCAGATATTAGGTACTTACGAGGTGTGTTCAGAAAATATCGGGAACTTTCGTTTTTTGAAAAAATATTTATTTATTCGTCTACATTAACATTGGATATTATGCACATGTGCCAGCTCTTCTTCCAATACTCGAAACACTTCTAAAACTCGATAGGGATGGGATAGCCTTTAGTTCTTTCAGCGATGCGCTTTTAATGTCATCTATGCTTGCAAAACGACGGCCCTTTCAGGTTCTCTTTATTTTTGGGAATAGAAAAAAGTCAGACAGAGGCATGTCTGGCGAATATGGAGGCTGGGGCATTATTACAGTATTGTTTTTGGACAAAAAATTTGTTCAAAATTTAACAATTTTGGAACAAATTTTGCTGCCACGTTTACATACCCAAAAAAATCGAAAAAAAATTCATTAGATATACCAACATCATCAGCGACTTCTCTGATCTTTTATGAGTTTTTGTAAAACCATCTATCTAAATCGATAATTTCACGAAAAAACTAAAATACACTCACAGGCAAAATAATCGATCCACACAAATTTTGGATGAATTTCAATAGCAAATAACTTTTTTATTTGATTTCGGATTTAAAGAAATATTAAAGAATATTGTAGATAAATTAATGGATAATCACATTTTAAAAATTACTAAAAAATAGACGTACGTTTATAATATACAGGTTTTTTTACCATAAGTTTAAGACACTCTGTAGAGTGGCAAAACCGTATATTGTTCTAAATTAAGTTTTAATTATCAAGTCACATCTATTTTAACTGTTTTGTTTTTGGTTCACCTTGTTATATTTATTATTGTGCAAAATATGGATTTAAAAAAAAACATTGCAATTTCCAATATTTTTTCTGTACAAAGAACTGCTATGGTCCATCCATAGGCTTTGGAGGAAGAAAGTGGCAGTTCTGTTGAATCATCACATACTTGGACATGTCATATACGGCTTTCAAAAGCAATCAAATTGTTTTTTGTAAATTAATGTGTTAATTTTGAGGTGTCTTCTTAATTTAAAAAATGGATATGTCTCCCACTCAAATTTTAAACATTAATTTGCAAAAAACAATTTGATAGCTTTTGAAAGCCGTATATGACATGTCCAAGTATGTGATGATTCAACAAAACTGTCACTTTCTTCCTCCATAGCCTATGGATGGACCATAGCAGTTCTTTGTACAGAAAAAAAATTGGAAATTGCAATGTTTTTTTTTAATACATATTTTCCACAAGGTGAACCAAAAACAAAACAAAAGTGATAATTAAAACTTAATTTAAAACAATATACGGTTTTGCCACTCTATAGAGTGTCTTAAACTTATGGTAAAAAACCTCTTTTTGTTTAAACCTGTATATTATAAACGTAGATTATTTTTTAGCAATTTTTTAAAATGTGAGAGATTCTCCATTGATTTATCTACAATATTCTTTAATATTCGTTTAAATTCGACATTAAATAAAAAATTTATTTGCGATTAAAATTCAACGAAAATTTTTGTGGATCGATTATTTTGCCTGTGAGTGTATATTGTTGCATGCTTGTTTATTAATTAGCGAGTTAAAATGTCATTTAGAAAGTGTTAACGACATTTAAAAAGTGTTAAACGACATCGGAAAAAAATATTGTTATTTTTTTAAACTGTAACTTTAGATGATACCCAAGTAAAAAAAATCTACTTGGGAACAGAGCTGCAAGCTCTCAGAAAACTTAAATCGTTTTTTCGATTTAAATCGTTTTAATGACTTAAGTCATTTGGTAATAAGTCATTTCTCTAAAACTGACTTAAGACTTAAAATTTAAGTAATTTTCAAAATGATTTGTGACTTTTTTCAAAATAAAAAAAACTTAAGTCATTTATAAAAGGCTTAAATCAGTACATACGATTTAAGATAGAAACGATTTAAGTCAAAAAAAGATTTAAGTCTTTTTGAAAAAGATTTAAGTCTTTTTAGAAAATATTTAAGTCAAATTTTTCATATATTTTTTTATAAATTTTTAACAGCGGCATTTTCTTTTGAACTGCCAGGGGTTCACGCGGCAGCAGATCAAAAACTCCTTTAATTTCCTACCTACAATTGCTACCGCTAGTAGATAAAAAAACCGCCGCGGTAAAGTTAGCTTTTTGGAACCGTTTGACGGCTACATTAAAAAATGTCCTGTCTAAAATGAATTAAAAAAAGTGGGGATTGATAATTTTGTTATTTTGTTTGCTAACATTCGTCATGTTCGTGCGTAGTTATGTTAAAATCGTTGTATTGACTTAAGGGTAATTATTTTGATTTAAATCACAATTTTTTATTCAAGTCATTTTATTGACTTAACTCTTAGATCACGATTTAAATAAAAAATATAGACTTAAGTCATAAAAACGACTTACTAAAGGAATTAAGTCATAAGATGACTTAAATCACTTTATATTGATTTAAGAATTTGCGAAAATGACTTGACTTGAAAGAAAATGATTTAATTCAAAGACTTAATACTTAAATCATTTGAACTTTATCTTAGAATTGACTTAAGATTTAAATCATTTTGATTTTAGAATTGACTTAAGACTTAAGTCTTTTTAAAACTGACTTGTTGCAGCTCTGCTTGGGAATAACGGACACCCTAATGTTACATGGACCTTATGAATTCGCGCATAACGCATGCCCGCGCCAGTTAATTTCAAATTAACATACGAAATGATTTTTTTTACTCCATTAGCTTAGGTAAAAAATCTGAACTCAGGGTTGCTGAGAACCTAAATTTTATGAAAACTCTTTGGGGTCTTTTTAAACTGCCCTGTTGTGTTTGTCTATTATTGCGCATGTTTAAAGCGACGGTCACAGCTTGGAAAATTGATTTCAATAGTCTTATTACACTGTAGGTAAATTTCAAACTTTTGAAAAGACACATAAAACGCCGGGACACGTAAACCTAATTTTTGGGTGTAGAATTCAGTGGTGTAATCAGTTTTTTAAAGTTAGCTCGTTTTCTCAAGATATTAATTATTTAAGTTTTTTGTTTCACCATTTTGCTATATTTTTAAAGAAAAATATAGCATAACCCGTTTTAAAATGTCTGTATTTATTTTTAATTTATAAATTGTTGTCTTTTAAATTAATAACATTCGTGTTTAAGCCGATAATATTCATATTTTTTTGATTTTATTAGATTTTTCGCAAATTTCTTTTTTTGTAATTAAATTTGTTTTATTAAATTTTATTGTCTGGTATTAGTGGGAAATATCCGAATTTAATAAAATTTGAGAATTTCATTTACTAGTAAATAGACTAAGTACAGCCTGTATAAATGTTGTTTTTAGTTTTTGCAATTGAAATAATTCTTTGCTACATAGTTTTGTGGTTAAGTAAGTATAAATATGTAGCTACAAATTTTGCATGCTTATTTTAATTTTTATAAAAAACAACTTTCAACCGAATCCGATGAAGCTCGTGAACGATTTCATCAAACCATTATGACATTTGAAGATCGGTTTTCTGGCAAAAAAATCGACTCGATGCTGGCTGATTTTTGTTGGTCAATCTTCAAAGAGGCATAAAATTAAACATTTTTTACATTCTTTACAACTTGTTATTTAAGTAGGTTTTTTATTTTTTTAAATATAAATTAATTTTAATATTTTATACTACTAACTGACAAAAAAGTTTATTATTGATAAATAATAATTTTTTAGAAATAAATAAATTTTAATAGATTAAAATTGGAATTGGCCAAAAATGTTAATTATAAATAAATAAAATAAACGGTAACTGGTTTAGTACTAGATTACAAAAAGGCATTTGACACAGTGAACCTTGACTTATTAATTTCAAAAATGAAAAATATGGGAGTAACTGGAAATTCTCTAAACATGTTCCAATCATATCTAACAAATCGACGCCAGTTTACAGTGGTAGGGGACCAATGCAGCACAATAGAGGAAATCAAATATGGTGTTCCTCAGGGGTCAATTCTGGGACCCTACATGTACTTACTTTACATTAACGATCTTAGCCTATATAAAATACATGGTAAAATGCTTATGTATGCAGATGACTTGGCAATTTTTTACAAGAACGAAAACAACAAAGACACAGAAAGTAAAATTAAACAAAACTTAAATACACTAAAAAAATGGACCAATTCTAATCAACTTACCCTAAATCATAAAAAATGTCACTTTATAAACTTTGAATCCAGAACAAGAGAACATCAAATTAACATCAAAATCAAGGAGCCACTAAAGGAAGTTAAAACAATCAAATACCTGGGACTACACATTGACAATAAACTAAACTGGAAGCAACACATACATAAACTAAATGAATCTCTCTCTTCATACATATACCTAATGAACAAAATAGCAAACACACTTCCTCTTAAACAAAGAATCTTAGTCTATGATTCCTATATTAAGAGTCAATTGGCATACCTCATACCTTTTTGGGCAACATCAAACGAAACCGCTAAAAAATCGTTGCAGCGAAATCAAAATAAAATATTAAAGATTATGCACAAATTGGACAAATACATGCCTACTGAACAACTTTATAAGATCACCAAACAGCTAAATATCGAAGAGCTTAGACAACTAGAAACCCATAAATTAGTGCACAAGATCATAACAAATAAGATACTGGATGAAGAAGGGTCAGAATTTCTCAAACGGGCCACCTGAATTAGGTCAAAATTAGTTTTTGATTGTAGATACATTTTTTCGATAGTATTTTACATCACTAACGCAAATCCTAAAGGATTTTGTAAAAAAAAAATTTTCAATTGACATATTCATGATATTAAAAGTAAAAGTTTTTAGTAATTAAAAAATAAAAAAAAATCATTATGGCTAAACTAATTATCCGATTCCAACGATTTAACTAGCGTTGGAATCTTGTTTTGACATAGATTCTTTGTTATTTTTTTCAATTGTACAATTTTCATTTAGGTCGATTTTTTTTTGTTTTTTTTATAACAAATTCGGAAATAATTGGCTTCTGCGCCAGCTATCGACTCGAAAAAAAAACACATATACTTCAATCATTTTTCGAAATTATGCTGCTGAGAAAAAAAATGGCCCGCAGGTTCCAGACCACCGTAAGACGTCGCGTCACAAGCGCGTACAGCGTACACGGTTCGGAGCGTGAGCTGACACCGCGCGCGGCCACAAAAGGACGAATAACTTTTTGTCAACCTGCGGGCCATTTTTTTTCTCAGCAGCATAATTTCGAGAAATGATTGGAGTATATGTGTTTTTTTTATCGAGTCGATAGCTGGCGCAGAAGGCAATTATTTCCGAATTTGGTATAAAAAAAACAAAAAAAAATCGACCTAAATGAAAATAGGACAATTGAAAAAAATAACAAAGAATCTATGTCAAAACAAGATTCCAACGCTAGTTATATCGTTGGAATCGGATAATTAGTTCAGCCATAATGAATTTTTTTATTTTATAATTATTAAAAACTTTGACTTTTAATATCATGAATATGTCAATTGAAAATTTTTTTTTTACAAAATCCTTTAGGATTTGTGTTAGTGATGTAAAATACTATCAAAAAAATGTATCTACAAACAAAAACTAATTTTGACCTAATTCAGGTGGCCCGTTTGAGAAATTCTGACCCAGAAGTAACATTTAGAAAAAGAGCGGACACACATGAACATAATACAAGAGGACGTGAACAAATAGACATAGAAAGAGCCAAAACAAAATATGGAGAAATGAAAATAAAACATCAAGGGTACAAACTATACAACAAATTACCAGAGAATATAAAAAACCTACCCGAGACGACTTTCAAAACCAACTTGAAGACTTTTATTTTGCACCAAAGAATATCTACTTAATATATTTACTTATTTATTATTTATCATATAAATCCAATATTATACATACTTATTTATATATTATATTTATACTTATCTGATATTATCGCTACTGTGATATTTAGGATGTACTTTTTAAATAAAAAAAAAAAATAAAAAAATAAAGATATTTTAAGAGGGATTATGGTGTAAAATATATACATAATATAACAAATAAAATAATATTTAAACACAAAATTTCAAATATCTTGAGAAAAAGACCCTAATTTTAAAAAACGGATTCTACACCCAAAAATTAGGTTTACAGGTCCCGGCGTTTTTTTGTGTCTTTTTGGCATTTCTCAAAATGTACACAAATAATAAACCAAAAAGTTACAAAAACTTAAATATTAAATATCTTAAGAAAACGAGCTAACTATAAAAAACAGATTACACCACTGGATTCTACGCCCAATAATTAAGTTTACGAGTACCGGCGATTTTTTGTGTCTTTTTGATGTTACTACTGTGTTATGTGAAAGGCTTCCACTGGGTATATTCGAACTTTTTTTCTTTTAGCTTGCTTACATACAGTACGGGAAATACATAAAAGACACAATACGAACGATGGACGCTGTCTATCAAGAGGCGAAGAAACAGGCGATCGATTGCGGTTTGATCGAGGAGTGCATAGTTTGCAGCGACCAGTTGATACCGGAGGAATGTTTTTTCTGCAGGAAGGGTTGCGTTTACTGCAAGGACTGTCTGAGAACGGGAACGGAAGTCGGGATTGGCAACGGAGATTTAAAATTCCCCTGCCATTATTGCGATCAGCAGTTTAGTTTGTGGACGCTTAAGGTAAAGTCAGTTTTTTAGGAATATTTTTATTAAAAATGTGAATCCGCTAAGGCGTTAAAAAGATTTATTGCAGATAGCGCTCTACAATCTAAATTCATTTTTTTAAGAAATTTACTTTTCCCAAACTGTTTTTTTTTCAAAGTTTAATAAAATCGAAAACAAATTTTCAGCTGGAAAAACGAAAATTTTTAATATTTTTTTAATAGAAACTTTTACAATTTCCGCAAACTCTGTCAAACTTTCAGGAAGGCATTTTCGTTTTCTATTTTTTTAATTAAAAAAATTTTTTACCCAGCTTATTTCTTATAATACCACTTAAGGATATTGAGAGAACCTTAAGTTTGAAAAAAAAATGAAATTAAAAGTGGTAAAACTTTTTTTTTTTTAAGAGAAAATGATAAAAATGTTATTTGTTTTATTTTTGGACAAACAACAGGATTTAAAAAAAGTGGTTAATTTGTATTTAATTCGTTTAATGTTTTTGTTTAATTTTTTAAAAAACTAAAATTATTAAATACTTTTTTTATTGTATTTATAGCTATGGTTTATAGCATTATTTTTAATTTTCTTTGTTATTAAATGAACTTTTTAAAAAATATATACAAATAAACATTTATTTGAACTATCTTCTATTTAAAAAAAATTGAAAACGAAAAAACGCCACTGAAAATTTCAGAGAATTTGCAGAAAATGTCAAAGAATCTAATAAAAAATAAGAAAAAAAATTAATCATCAAGAAAATTTCGCATTTTTCGAAAATTTACAAAAAAAAACGTGGAAGATCGATTTAAATGATTTTTTTTCTAAATTATTCTGAAAAGTACATTTAAAAACCAACATTCTGAAAATAAAACGTCCCGATAAGTTAATTTTTGTTCATCTACTTAAAAAACATAATTTATTAAATAATTTTATTTTGCATATTAATATGTAATATATTATAGCTATTGTATATAAAATTATTTTATGCACGATGACATTATAATATGACAATTATAACAAAAATTCTTTGACGTAAACGTCTTTTTATAGCCCGCGGGCGTTATTATGGCCCAGCGGGCTATAATGAAACGTCAAAAATTAAAAACAACAATGTTACACCATTTGATATATTCTAAGTAAGTTTTTTCGTATAAAGATTTTGATTTTACCGGCAGCAGGCCGCAATTTTTCGCCTTTTCAGCTGCTTCCTCAATTTCATTTATCTTTAAACTTTAAAACTGACTGATGTCAGTTGACATTATAATATGACAATTATAACAAAAATTCTTTGACGTAAACGTCTTTAAAAACAATAATATATTAAAAATAATAATAAATTAATCGTGCATAAAGTTTTGTATGCATTGCTGGCATAACTGGTTTTTATGGTCCTACGACGCTTTTCTAGCCCTCGCGCTAACGCGCTCGGGCTCGAAATAGCGCCTCGGACCATAAAAACCTTATTATGCCCTTAATACATAAATAACTATTTCATTTTTTTTTTAAATGTAGTTTTCAAAAAATATATATACAAAATTATTTAGAACCATCTTCTATTCTTTTTCTTACATTTTCAAAAAGATTTTTTCGATGATTACCACTTTCAACGTAATTTTTTTTTAACTTTGAGGTTTTCTCCTTTAAAATCTCCCGAGTGGTATTATGAAAATAGGCTGAGTTATTTTTTTTATTGAAAAAAAAAAAAGAAAACAAAAAACGCCACTCTGAAAATTTCAGAGAATTTGCAGAAAAAGTCAAAGTATCTAATAAAATAAAAAATAAATAATAATGACCAATCATCGAGGTCTGAATATTTTTTTTTAAAAGTACATTTAAAAACAAAAATTCTGAAAAAACGTCCCAATAGGTAAATTTTTTAAAAAATTATAGATATTTAAAAAATAGGTGCCATTTAAATTTTTTTTTTTAATTCGGAAAAAAGTTTTTGATAAAGGGTATTTCCACGTATTTCCACGAGGTCTGAATAATTTTTTTCTAAAAAGTACATTTAAAAACAAAAATTCTGAAAAAATGTCCCAATAGGTAAATTTAAAAAAAAATATTTAAAGATATTTGAAAAATAGGTGCCATTTAATTTTTTTTTTTTAATTCTGAAAAAAGTTTTTGATAAAGGGTATTTCCACCAAACCTTACCCCACCTTGACAAAAAATCAGATGTGTTATTTAACAAAATAACAACTATATCTGAAGTCAAATAGTTTAATTTCGACGTAATTTATAACCTTAAAATATTCGTACATTGTGATGTCGCACCCGTTACATTTTGTGAAAATTTTAGAAAATAAAGTATGCAATTTTTGTGCATTTAAAATACGTGCTTGTTACTATTCAAGTTTTACACAAAAAATTATTACTATATGCTTTCATACAAAATTTTACAGTAATGCATTCCCTTGTTCTTTTCAAGAAAATAGTGACTACTAAGCTGCCTCAATATTTGTATAATAAAATAAAATTTAGAACCGATGTACATCACTTAAATTTAAGACACAAGAGTACTATCACAATCCCTCAGCACACAACCTCTATTTATCAAAGAAGTTTTAGCTATAATATCGCATTTTTTTATAACCTGTTACCTAACAATTTGAAAGCATGCTCAATTTTACTTTTTAAAAACAAATTAAAACAATTAATTTTGGAAAACTTTTTTAATTTATGCTAATCATAAAATTCTCTTTATTATATTTCAATATGTTTATACGCAGTCTAACTGCAACAGTTTATGTATCTTATTTTGATTACACAAATTTATTTGCCTGTAGCTAGAATAAGTACCTACAGTTTATTTGTTAAGCTAGGTTAAGTGGAAGAACAGCAGCCATGTGGCAATTTGCTGAACATCGCCTATTGTTACAATTATTTAACAATAAAGTTACTTATTAGTATTATTATTATTATTATCAACTTTAGAAGCCAACTTGGTCGCCTTTGCCGAATTTCTAAGGTCGCGCCCGTTACGCTATTCATGACGTTATAAAAGGTCTTCTATACAAGTTTTTATTGACATTTAGTTTGAGTTAAATACCAAATTTTTAATACTATTTTTTTAAATTAACGTATCTTGATATATGAATGAACACTTACCATGAAAAAAAAACGCATTTTTAGTGTCGCACCCGTTACAATGGAAATACCCTAAAGTAACAAAGTAAAAAAAGATAAAAAAAGTTTTAGCCACATTGAAAGGGGTGCGAGTCAAAATTGATCGATTTTTAATTTCAGATGGTCTTATCGGCCAACATCTACGAGAAACTCGAACAGCGCATCCAAAACGAGGAAATCAAAAACGCGATGCTCGACGATTCGGACAGCTGCCCCTTCTGCGGTCACGTGCAAGTTTTCACCGAGACCAACAAAATTTTCAAGTGCCAGAACGAAGAATGCGCCCAAGAATCGTGCCGGCTGTGCAAACACGTGTCTCACATACCTTTACGATGCAACGAAATCGAGTACGACGAAGACGTTCAAAGGAGAACTTTCATTGAGAATCAGATGGCAGAGGCTGTTATGAGGTTAGAATATCCAATTTTTGTCTAATTTTTTTTGTACGTTTTGTAAATTTAAATTTTTTATTTTTTTTTGAAATTTTAAGTTTTACCCTCCTTATAAAATGTCCTAAAAGTTGGAACTGACAAACATTATTTTAAAGTGTAAAAATATTTTGGACTTTGTCAAAAATATCCTTAAGTAGCCTAAAATTACCTTAAAAATGTCTAAAATGCACAAATTTCTATATTATCCTAAAACATGTTTAGAACTTTCTAAAGTTGCCTTAAACTGTCCAAAATTGTTTTGGAGCTCTCTTAAACGTCCCTAAACTGTCAAATTTTTTCTTTAAACATTTTATTAAAATTAAAAAACAAACAAGGTGTTATACAAACACATTTAAGTGCCATGTGACAATATCTCGGATGGTACGAGTTTAGTGTGGGAAATGTTGAAAATTATGTAAATTATAAAATTTTTGGTAATTATGATAATTTTGGAAATTTTAAAATTTTTGGAACGTATGTTTTTTAAATTTAAAAATTGTTTTTATAAATTTTAACCCAACTTATCGTTTTCTACTAGTCAAACCCTTTTATTTGATATCCTTATCAATGAGGTTGTATCTTACGGCAGAAACCATATTGATTTATTTCTATTATTACGTGAGATAAAAATAGGGGGGAGGGGTCATTAAAAATCTCACGTCCACTTTTGGCTTTAAAGAATATGTATTATAATTGAAATTTATCAAAAAAAGTAATCAATTTTTATTTTTTGGGTTTATCATGTTGTCCGCAAAGAAAGTTTAATGGCTAGAATCTCACGTGAGGGATAGGGTCTACCACATCTCACCAAATCTCACCAAGGGGGAGGGAGGGGTCCAAATTATCAGAAAAATGTCTCACGTAATTAATGGATGTCACCTTACTCTAGGACACCTCTATGTCACGTTTACGCGTCCCCACTCTCATATATCGATTTTTGCACGCACACTGACGCAGTCTTCACATTCACATGACTACCTAAAATAGTGTGACTTCACCTATTTTACCTATCAATCTCATGTTATCATGTTTTACATATCTCAAGCTTTTCACAAATTTTATCAATTTGTGCTTTTTATGAGAAAGTCAACAATTGTATGCTTATTTCAGGGCTCCCTCCTAAAATTTGGCTTAAATCTTGAAAACTCCTAAAATTGACATCAATCTCCTAAAACTCCTAAAATTAAATATAAATAGGCCAACCTGACTGCTGACTAACTGATTAAGGTAGTTGTGCTATTTTTTTTTAGTAATTTAAAAAATATATATTTTTAGGTTATAGTTTATTAAATTCTTTTTAAAATGATATATCACAACCTAAATTTTTCTTAAAAAACAACAAAATGTACCTACCTAAAAAACAAAATCCGTGTAATAGCTCCTAGACTTCTACTAAATTCTCATTTTTAGCCATATTTCTTTTGTTTTCGAAAAAAATTTACCGTGTTTTATATCAAACAAAAGGATTTTTAATTTTCTTTTAAATTATAGCTAGTGGTAAAATGTCTACTTGTAAGATATATACAAAAGTAGTAATTCTACCTCACTTTTAATTTTATTAAAAAAACGAAGTAATATTTATTTATATTTTTGTTAAAAAGAATTATTTTTTATTTTTTAAGTACAGTCCAGAGTTATTTATATTTAATTAAATTCATTTGCATTCTTTATTTCTCCTAAAATTTTACAAAAAACCTTCTAAATTCCAAAATAAAATTTATAATAATTATATTATAATATTTTTACAAGATATATTTGTCAGTTATTTTCAATTTTTTTCCAATCAAAAAAATCTTTTTTAACTAATTCTCAACCCATCTTTCACTAGCGTTCAGAATGTACTTTTCCGCACGCACGACAGTGCGGAAAGTAGCAAATTTCCGCACGCTTGCAGAAAAAATATTTTTTCGAAAACTGTCATTAAAAATTGACTTTTATATAATGTGCCAAAACAACCGTTTTTTGTCTACAGAACGTAAGTGGTTTACATTCGTTGCTATGTACGCAAAATACTTTTTCATCCGTTGCTATGTGCGCAATAGTTATTAGTTATTAATTAGTGCGGAAAGTGCTAATTTTGTGCGGAAAAAAAAACTTTCCGCCCGTGATATTCTTACTACAAGCAAGAAAATCTCGTAATTTTCCATTTTTAAAAGAAATATTTTTTGTAAAGCGTGCTGTAACTAGCAACTTTCCGCACGCTTGTAAAAAAATACTTTTACATTCGATTTAAAATGTTTTCTGCACATTTTTAGTAGTTTATAAACTGTGGGATGCAAGCTATCGCTCACAAAAAATAATTCATTCTCAAATGCAAAAGTGGCATTTTGAAATAAAAAATCCCATCTCTATTTATTATACATCAAAACTGTTTGTTTGCAGAACATGCATTACACAAAAAATTCATCATTTTCACAAATTTTAAAAATTTGTGCTTTTTTATGAGAAAGTCTTTTTTTAAACATTTCTGTCATAATTAATGTTAATTTTTTATTGTCAGAATTTATATTCTTTAACATTTTAAAAATTATAAAATTAATGATGGTATTATAATATTTTTACAAGATATTTAGTTATTTTCAAATTTTTCCAATCGAAAAAATCTTGTTCAATAATTGTTTTCCACTAGCGTGCAGAAAGCACGATCGACAGTGCGGAAAGTAAATGCGTGCGTAAAGTAGCACATTTCCGCAAGCTTGCAGAAAAATTATTTTTTTGAAAACTCATTAAAAGTTGACTTTTAGATGAGTCAAAACAATAGTTTTTTGTCTACAGAACGTAAAAGTCTTACTCAAGTGGCTTTTGAAATCTAGCATAAAAAATAAAAAAATCCCATCTCTATTACACATCAAAACTATTTGTTTGCAGAACATGAATTTCATGCCACAAAAAATTGAAATGTTGCATTTTCACAAATTTTAGCAATCTGTGCTTTTTTATGAGAAAATATTTTTTTAAACATTTCTGTAATAATGAATATAATTTTTTTATTGCATGCTTACTAACAAAAACATAAGAATTATAAAATTAATAATTTTTTTACTAGCGTGCAGAAAGCATACTGGCAGGGCGGAAAGTAAATGAGTGCGGAAATTAGCAATATTTATTTACCTAATTAGTGCAGAAAGTGTTAATTTTACTACAAGCGTGTGGAGACTAGCAACTTTCCGCACGCTTGTAAAAAATACTTTTACATTCGATTTAAAATATTTTTTCTACTCCTATTACGAAATATGACCGTTGTAATATCCCTTTTATCTATGGAATGACATATATTCCGTAAAGTAGTTACAGAATGAAACATTCTATCATCGGATGACAGAATAAACACTCGTGGCGACATCTCTGTTTTTAATATCTAACAAATTTTAGACCGATCCAACCTCACTTTCTTCCAATTAAATTATTTTTCTATGATATTTTTTGGAAACGTAAAAAAAGTATAGTCTGAAACCCGTTTGGAATTGCATATTCCGCTCTCGTGAAACCGTATTCCAAACTTCAAGTTACTTGTTACAGAGTATACTATTCTGCACATTTTAGTAGTTTATAAACAGTGGGATACATCGCCCACAAAAAAACTTTTATTCTCAAATGCATGATTTTGAAATGTAGCATCAAAAATAAAAAAATCCCTTCTCTATTTACTACACATCAAAACTGTTTGTTTTCAGAACATGCGTTTCATGCAACAAAAAATTCGTCAAAGAAAATGGTTGCAACAAAATGGTGTGCTCGTGTGGAGCCAAAATGTGTTACATATGCGGTTCCGCCATCGTAGATTACAGCCATTTCGGCACAGGAAAGTAGGTGTTATACAAATTCTTTCAACAAAAATTTCTCATAATATATTTTAAGGTGTCCACTGCACACCGACGACCTAAAACGCTTCCACTTGGAAAACGTGAGAAAAGGTGCGCGAGAAGCTAAACAACAGTTGAATGGGCAAGAAATTAAATTCGACCCTGAGGAAAATCTTGAAGCATTTTTCAATTAATTGTGCCATAATTATGTGATAAGCAAAACTCTGTTGTTAAGTTTTAAACTTCACTATTTTATAATTGTACTTACTATTATTAGTTTTATTGATATTTTTCTAACTTTCATATTTGGTAAATAAATAAAAATCATCAAAAATAAATATTTTATTCTTCATCACATCCTGCAAAACTTAACTCGTAAATAAATCCATGGTGAAACCACCAAAAATACTTACTTACCAAGGCCTGTAGGTTCCAAAATAATACTGGCAAATCGGGCATGCGTGCGCCACGTTGTAACACGACTTGGTGCAGTATGGCAGCAAGCAGCAGGGCCAGCAGTAGCACAAACACAGTAGTGCTGCCGCAAAATGAGCTGCATTAGAGCGCTCCAAGTGCAATTCAGTCAGTACTATAATATTGCAATTTGGACACACAATGTAGAGGGATTCCGGACCGAAGAAAAAGGAGTCTTAAAAAAGTTATTTAATTAAAGGTTTCTACGTTCTTACTGTTTAATTGTCGTAAAAATATCCTAAAAGTTGGAACTGACGAACAATTCTTTAAACTGTAAAAATATCATTAAGTAAATTTCATTTTTTTAAATCTGGACTGCGGCAACGTTGCAAATTAAGGGGTTTTGCCCAGCTAGCAAGGTTACGTCATTAAGACGACATTTTAAGGTCACCTTTCGTCGGCGACGTCACATGACCAATAAAAGACGGGTTTATGACGTCACATTTCCGACGTCATTTAGACGTTTTTATGTTGCGTCTTTCTGACGTTTTCAATAGGTGATTTTATATCACGTAATAAATATATAATAATACGTATAATATAGTAGGTACTACCTAATTTTTCACACCCTGTAGATAAAATCCCAATTTTTTTGTAGATCAAAACTTATTTTTTTATCAGAAAAAAAAATCCCTATCATCGATGACACGCAAATCCGTCGATGAACAAATAATTATCCTACAGGACAATAACGAAATACTATTTTAAACAAAATATTTTTTAATTCTAAATTTAGTTTTACAATTTCATTGCTGTCAATACCTATATAGGTATTTATATTATTCCGAATAAAAAAACAGACAAAAATTCGTGGAACTTGTGAAGTGTCGATACATGGCGGGAAGTAAAGAACGCCGTACTCGATACCACCAATCACAGACTGTGATTCAGTCAGCTGACTACTGTGAGATCAGCTGACTTTAGTGGCAGGCTGCGATTGCTTGATCATTTGTAACCGTTCATGTTTTGCAACGGTTCACTACCGCGGTGGCGTTCATTCTGTTATTCGGTTAAATTAAGTTACTTAATAACTGTTGTGCAAATCTACAATTAAGTGGAGTAACTGCGGATCAATAGGTAGGTTTTACATAATTATTAAATCATTCTTAATTTATTTATCTATACCTATACTAGGTGTTTAAAAGATGTACGCCGTAGTTGAGTTTGCACACGACGGTGACGGGGGAATTTCCGCTATCAATACAAAGTGGCTAACTCCTCGCAAAAAAAAGTTTACTGGCCACCTTATAAACAACAGTGCAAATACGACAAGGTGCTTTATCACGCATGATAGCTCGAGCTATACATAATGTTCGATTTATGGGATATCCCATAAATCGAACATTATGTATAGCTCGAGCTATCATGCCTATATAGGTCTACTCTATTAAGTTTATTTATTTATTTATTTATATTTTATAATATATGACATTTATAATATATTTCTTTGTTTTATTTATTACAATAAATGACAAATCTTGTACGTCTTTAAGACGTCAGTACTTACGTCATATAGACGTCTTCAAATGACGTTATTTGTACGTCCTAATATGACGTCAACGGTCTGTGACATTTGCCCGTTTCAAAGACGTGATTTTGACGTGATGTTAAGGGTGAATATGACGTGACTTGTGACCAAAAAATGCCGTGATTATGACGTCACCATGTTTGCTGGGTGGTTGGTAAATATAGAACCAAAATTGGTTGCATAATGGCCCCTTGCACCGCTTTCTCTAACTGATCAGTTAAATAACTACCTTCACACTTATTTGTGACGCAAATACATTTTGACGTTAAGAGTTCGATTCTTTATAATCTGTGGTTCGATTCTTTATCATCTGTGGTTCGATTCTATTTCATGTACGACCGATTCAGTTAATGGTAAGAGAGAATAATATGGATACTAGGGTGTTTCATTTAAAACGAAAAATTCTTTTTTCTTGCTGACACATGAAAATTTTGTTTTTTAGGTTGAAAAAAAAATTCCCTGATAATTTTAGCTCTTAAATTTGATTCTAAGTACTTCCTTTTTAATTTTGTAGTTTTTCCATATAAAAAGCATGTATTTTTAATCATTTCGGCCATTTCAAGCGGATGGACGGGACAAATCACAAAACTGTTTTTATAAAAAAAATTGTAGCTAATTTATTATATATTATTTTTGCATCAAAATTGTCAAAAAAATTCTTCTATTATTAGGGTATACATTAAATAAAAAAAATCGCAAGAAATATTTTATAAAAGTAGAGATAATTTCAATAATTGACAGGGATGGACGGGACAAGATAAATCTTTTTTTTGTCCCGTCCACACCTTTCAATTATTAAAATTATATCTACTTTCATAAAATATTTCTTGAGTTTTTTTTATTTAATGTATAACCTAATAAAAGAAGAATATTTTTGACAATTTTGATGCAAAAATATTATATAATAAATAATCTACAATTTTTTTTATAAAAACAGTTTTGTAATTCGTGCGTTTCGCGCGCTTGAAATGGCCGATTTTTACTTTAAATTTCTATATTTTGGCCGGGTTTTGAATTATAATTTTTATAACCATAATTTCCTGCATAGTATTCACGGTTTTTACAAGGCCCTGCATCAATTTTGTTTTTGATTTATTTACGTTGATTGTAGTAGCTCCAAAGGTCGTTTTTACACTTTTTCTCACATATTTTTGAGAAAATCGAGCGAATGAGTGGTTTTACCGAAAAGTTCAAATGAAAAAGTTGTAGGAAATTTAATTTTTGACAAAAAAGGTTCTCACGTTCATATCACTAAAGTGCTTTGTTTAAGAGATATAAGCAATTCAATACCCAAAAACAAAGAAAAAATAGGTTTCATTGAAATTTATGTATAGTATAATATAATATACATACATTTATACCTTATATCTCTTAAACAAAGCACTTTAGTGATATGAACGTGAGAACTTTTTTTGTCAAAAATTAAATTTCCTACAACTTTTTCATTTGAACTTTTTCGGTAAAACCAGTCATTCGCTCGATTTTCTCAAAAATATGTGATAAAAAGTGAAAAAACGACTTTTGGAGCTACTACAATCAACGTAAATAAATCAAAAACAAAATTGATGCAGGGCCTTTCAAAAACCGTGAATACTATGCAGGAAATTATGGTGATAAAAATTATAATTCAAAACCCGGCCAAAATATAGAAATTTAAAGTAAAAATGATTAAAAATGCATGCTTTTTATATGGAAAAACTACAAATTTAAAAAGGAAGTACTTAGAATCAAAGTTAAGGGCAAACATTTTCAGGGAATTTTTTTTCAACCTAAAAAACAAAATTTTCATGTGTCAGCAAGAAAAAAGAATTTTTCGTTTTAAATGAAACACCCTAATGGATACAGATCCTGAAAAAGGGGGCGCTCCCCAAATTTTTCAGAAAATAAAAAAAATCATTTAATTAATCTTGTGGGTACAAGGGTATCATTGAAAACAAATTTTAAATGTTGGGGAAATGGCAAAAACTCCCCGTTTACTGGCCTTTACAGATAAAAAAGATGCACCTCAATTAAGTTTTGTGGGCACAAAACTCAAGATGTATTTTTTATCTGTAAAGTCCCGAAAACGGGGAGTTTTTGCAATTTTCCCAACATTTTATTAAAATGGATATAGCCGGTTTTGCACGGATGCTCCTCAATTATTTGTGAGAACCAACAGACTTTTGGAGAAAAAGGACAAAAGCTAAAAGTTCAGTTTTTTATTTTTGGATAACTTATTTTAAATATGAATTTTTTAGTTTTTCAATCGCAAGATCAGAAGAAAAAGATTAGTTAGCAAGTTCGCATCGAGAATAAAAGTAAATAAAAAGAGAATGAAGACCCTAAAATTGAAGAACCTGATTTGAAAGAAAGAAAAGACAAAGTAATTTAATTACATGCCAAAAAAAATTACAAAACAATTAAATTTTTCATTTTATAATTTTACTTATTTATACCTACATTGTTAAAAAATTGGAACCGAAAAAACGTATGGACCGAAAAGATTGGACCGAACCGGACAGAAATATTTTTTTTTCAACCGTAACCAAACCTGTAAAATTTATTAAAGTAAACGATTGTAATAAGTAATTTCTCGATAAGTAATTATTGTAGATCCTTCTAATTTGAAATATGTGCTTATCCTAGCCAATAAATCATATACAAGAAATTTAAGATAACATGGAGAAATTTTTTAAGTTATTTAAGAACTGTCTCATGTCCAAAAACTGTCAAAAATGTGCCGAAACTGTGAAATATATTTGTAGTCGAAAACATTTACCGTAAACACGGGTGACTTTGCACCCCGCGGGTGACTTTAACCCATTTATGAAAAATCTTTTCGCGCTCGATAAAATTAACATTTATAATTTGTTGGTCTAAACCTGTCAATTGAGCGATTCTATTGAGTTTATATTACAGGAAAATCAGTGTTTTAAAGAAAGAAATGGGATTTATTACACTTTAAAATTGTATATATCGCATCAGTGCAAAACTCTTAGAAATACACGAGTTACAATTTCTATATTATGCGCAATCCATTGGAATGATGATCCTTGGTTAACTACAGGTCGATTTTTAATTTTTTTATCAATAGATATATGTCGCTGCTAACACGTGTCTAATAAAAATAAAATATATATATATATATATTTTATACGGAAAATACACTGTGAGACAAAGTAACCCGCAACCAGGGGGTAACTTTGCACACCCAGTTTTTAATTTTTATTTTTTAAACTCAGCCCTATGTAACATTATAACATAGTTATTATAAAAGAGCAACTCAAGACTCAAATTTTGGTATACAAAATTTAATGTTTATGATTGTTAAAACCACAAAAATTTTAAGCTTAAGT